GCTAAAGTTTCTTCGGAAAGAATTTTTACGGAAAATTAACTAACGAACGGAGGCGTAACAATAACTTCAATTAGGTACATATTCAGAGTTCAATAACGTAGAGTTCGCCGGAAAGCTCAATATGCTGGTTAAAACTGCAGTTCTGGCATCTCCTGTCATCTCTCCTTCCGCTGCTGCATTTCTCTTACGTTGATCTTGTTGTAGAAATTTACAAGTTCACTATGTAGCTCGTTTAGTTCAAATTGTTCCTTCACATTATCTTTCGAGTTATCATTACAATTTATCTCGAGTGGATAAGGAAGCTGTACAGATCATATTAGTAAACTGCATCTTCTTTTTCTTGTTCTAATTTTAAGTGCAACTCCTCTTGTAAGGTCATTTGCTATAGTGATGAGTTGCTCAACATTCCCATATTTCCAGAATCCTCTAGAATAATTCTCATCCTGAAATAACACAATATCCCCCACTCTTACCCTTCCAGATGCTGTAATCTTGTTCATTCGGCTATGGGAATCTCCGAGTTTCAATAGATATTCATTTCTTCCTCTTTTTCCAAAAATGGTTCATAATTTTACTAACTTGGTCAATCTCCTGCTCAAGTTCTCTGGAGAAATCACAGAATCATATACAATAAAAGTTGGAACTTTTATCCAGTAAACTCATGATTATTTTATCACAGAGTAGATGACATGGTGTAAGAAATTCTCTGATGACACATATGAGAGAGGATGGGAGTGCAAACTAATTTCAACTTCAGCCATAACAGTTATAAGTTCATCATACAACAGGTTAGCTGTACAAATATGTTTTCCTCAAGTATCTTTTCAGAGACTTCACTAACCTCTTAAAAAAACCTTCCCATAAAGGTGCCTTCTTCAAATTATACAACCTCTTGACATTCTCTCCTAAAAAATATCACATCACTACTACCTGCACCTGATTTTTTGTGGTATTTCACCCAAATGGTGTGGCCTGACTTACAGCCCTAGCCACACTACACACTTCTGCTAAACTGTTTACCTATGAGATTATAGACAGTTGAGCAATCTCCAATTCCACTCACCTTAGTGACACATTAGCTTCCAGCAAAATATATCTTTTGCTCTTCCATCTGTGTTGGACAAAGAGTATTCCCTGCTTGAGAAGGATGTGGTCTCCAACTAAGTGCTATCCTAGTAAGGTTACCTCACACGTCATGGAAGTCACATTCCATGGACTTTCACTTTCTGATGCTGTTTTCAGAAAGGAACTGATCCTTGTAATTTTTCAGCACTAGTTCCTTCACCATCTTCAATGTGGGATTCTAACTTTTTGTGACGCACAGAGGTGAGTAGTGTATCTGAGGTTAACATTTTCCTTGTCTGAAAATGTATTTTCTTAGCCTTCTACATCCTCTCCACTTCTAGTGCATGTTATATGCCTTGTCAAGAATGAGCCTATGTATCACCCTCCTAATGATGGAGAGATATAGTCTAATGATGATCATAGACTAGGGCAATACATGTTGATACATGTAGGGGTGGGAGCTTTGTTTAAAGCTTGTGGTATGAGCAAGAATTTACATGACAGTGCATGAAGGGAAATAATAGCACTTTGTGGTGCAGAAAGGTATCTGTCTAAAATACAGTTTCAGGTAAGGAAAACGTTAACTTTGCCCAACCCCTGTATGTTTGTGTGTGTTTTTTTAATATTAAAAATGAATTCTGGCATAACAGTAATTTGTGTGTATGTAATGATAATTGATATAAGTGGAATATTAATATTTTCCTAATTTCATATTTAAAATGTTATTGATTGAGTTTATGTAAAATGATTAAAACTGATTATTTTAACATAGTTAAAATATCTGCTTTTAGCATTATAATAAATTTATTGATTTTAAATTGATTCTCCTTTTAGGTAAATATTTTAAAACTAATTAACTTCAAAAAGAAGCTGAAATAACAATATTGTAAATTACTTTTCATGCCAAGATCATTATTTTCAGAGTTATAAGGGTAAAAAGTAAAGCTGAAGTTTCTTGGGAATGGATGAAGAATGTTACTGTACCTATTATGTTATTGTGGTAGCTTTATTTTTTACGCTTTTTTGTAAATATTAAATTATTGTTTCAATACAGTATGTAACTTCTGTTCACACCTAGCTTTTTCCTGTTCAGTGCTGTTCTCTATATACAAACATTTTTGCTCACCAGTAGCCTTGAGGCTCCTACCTAATCTCTCAGAATTGTATCACAGAAGAATATCCACATAAAATGTATTTAAACCTGTTATAGATTTTCCTCATTAAACTCTGTATACTTTAGTTGTCTAACAGAAGTATGTGTACAATTTTTAATCTGGAAGTTAACAGTTTCCAAAACTGAAAATGTAATTCCAATAGATACTCACCTCGCTCACACTTCCTACTTCTCGTGCATCTTTCTTTATTGCCTTATCTTGAAATGATGTTAGAACAATCAGTATAGAGAGATCCAGCTGCACTAGGAAGTGGTGTTACACTCCTATTGATTAAGGGTTTTTGTATGCCCATTTACATGCAATAAAACAGCAATATTATGCGGAAACATCAGATTAGGTGAGAGCCTTAAGGCTAGTCGTGAGCTAAAACATTCATATACAGAGGGCAGCACTCAACTGGGAAAGCTAGCTAAGAGCAAAGGTATCTATTGAAAAAACATTTTCATTGTTAGAAAATATTAACTTTTCCTATAATCTTAAATTCTCAATTTTGGATCCAACTTTCCAAAAGTGATTTATAATCATTGGAAATAATTATTAGTTATAATACGTAAGAATATTTTTTAGTCATCAAACAAAAAATATGCTTAATTTTACAGGTACAGTTAGATTTTTTTAATGAAAATAATCTAGGAGAAAAGTATTAGGGAACAAATTCATAAATGAAATAGTTATTTGTTATATACAGTTTAGTACATTAACAATTGTAGTTATGTGCTGTGCACTTCAGTTAGCACTACTCAATTAGTAAATAAAGTATGAAATATAAAAAAATAGTTGCTTGAATTAATCAACAAATTCCATACCTGGATCAACTATGTACTACCTTTTCATCAGCTCTTAGCCCAGAGAGCCCCCCCAGTGGCACAGCGGTATGTCTGCGGACTTACAACGCTAGAATCCGTGGTGGGCAGAGCACAGATAGCCCTTGTGTAGCTTTGTGCATAATTAAAAACAAACAAACAAAAACAAACAAACTTAACCCAGAGAATGTTATCCAAATAAGCTTTAAGTGTGGGAGACAGTTTTCCTAATGAAATAAAGTTTGAGACTATCATTTATATTTTATCACTTGTGTTTTATTTAGGTATAGTCAGTAATCAAAATGAGCCAGTATAGAATAGTATGCCATAATGGCACTTCTCAGAATACTAAACATATATATATTTGTGCTTTCCAGAATATTTTAATGGGTGTACATGACTAGTACAATTTCATATTAGAACTTCTAACTTTGTTTATATTAACTGGTGTGTATAATGTTTATCTATAGAATTATTCACATGTATTTTTTTAAACATGTTTACTGCTTTTTAGAATTAATTATTTTTAGTCAGCTTTTGTTATAACAAATTATATTGAAGTTTTATTTTAGACAAAACAACATCCTGTGAAAAGGAAACTTGAAGAAGGAAGCCCTGCTAAAGTGATTCTTAGCAAGGAACCAAGGTAAATATTATCTTGTAATTTTCTAACCTTAGCATTCATTCTATGTGTATTCTCAAGGGTCATTAAACTAAAATTATTTAAATCTAAGTTAATTACTTTGTATGTGATAAATATAAACATTCTGTTTCATTACGTGTTCAGTATTATAAATGTGATTTATAGTGTATTGAAGTTCTGTCTTTTTGCTTCTAGTTTATTTCAGTATTTATTAAAAGTGTGGTGATACAACGATATGATACAAGTATCATATTGTTACGTCTCTGTTCGTTAGTTAATTTTCCGTAAATTCGTTCCGACGAAACTTTAGCGACACAAGTCCTTTCTTAAATAAAACTGGTTTATTCTTTCTGAATATAACTTTGCGATACACTTAAATTCAACAGTCGCGCTACAACAAACGCTATAACAACGAACGTCTCACGTGCTCAACTTCAATGATACTCAGTTCAATTACACACTCTCTGACTGCAGTTCAATTACTCATTGTTCCGTCACGTTGTGACCATCTTATATATACCAGCCTACCCCCAATCTAGTAGTCTCCCGATAATTCACGAAGGTTCGAGAAGTACGTGGCATGATACTAGTCACGTGACCTCGCTGACGCAACAATATCATGAAGCCATGATACAATTATATCAATACATCATCCGATCCGATACAATTTATGTATCTTCACAAATTTGGCAAGCTTTCAGTAAAAATTATAAGTCTTTTGTACAGAAAAAATTCAGAATTTCTAATAAAGTATTTTTGCTAAAAATTAATTATTCAATAAAGGAGGATGAGTATTGAGTACTACATGTTGTCTTCATTTCTTTTATCAAAAACATTACATGCAAAGTAACGTAAGAAACTTACAACAACGAAATAGATAGACAGATATTAACTTTTTTATTTCACTTCTCTTGCCAATTGTCATTTAGCTGATCAAACCTGAGAATTTGAAAAAGCATTGTAAAGTGTGAAGTACTTAAATAAGACATTGTTAATAATATAGATAATAAATTACAGATAAGACTGTCAAACTTTGTAACAAACTGTTAGTAAAACTTCTGTATCTAGATACGTATTGTAATGATATCTAGATACATATTTTTTCAACTACAATGATGAGATATACACTCCTATCATCATCATTGCTGTTATGTTAAACTTGTATTAAAGTTTTTCTTCATTACCCATTCAAGCCGTCTCCAACCATTATTACTCCTAGTATTTATATATATAGGTGCATAACCATGGTGTAACGTTGTTGCATTATTCATTTCTTAATTGTTCTTTTGTCAGAATATTAAAAAGACATTAAACTATAAAATCAAAATATTTTTAGATGTCACATATGACTCACATTTAAACTTTTTGAATATAATTATTGAAGAAAATGGTAAGTGTCTGTTATTTTATTTTTTTGCAGGTATTGCAACATACAGAGTTAAAGTTTGACTGCTGGAAGGTATTATATAAAATTGAGAAACACACAAGTGAACTAAAACGACTAAACAACTATCCATGCAAGTTATCACTGATTTTTGCTTGCCATATATGCTTCTTAAGCTTGAGAAAATCAATTTGAAGTCATGTTTATTATATTACATGTTTATTAAATGAAGGATTTTTTGCCAGAGATATTGGGCTTAACATTGTTCAAATGTAATTATGGATCAATGTTTTTAACCCTTTCCAGACGGGTCACGATGAAAGGCATCTCGTTGGTTGACTCGCATTCAAAAGTTTATTAAACTACTATTTCATGAGTTTATGTCATTAAGATTTTTATCAAACTGTAGATTATAATTAAAATTTTGGTACTAATACATTACTTAATTTCTTAATTTAGAAGTAAATATTAAAAAATACAGATAAACATGAATGTTTGTGTGTCACGTGGTGTATTGAATGCAGCACTGGTTCAAATTAGTTGTGTGTGAAGTAAAAAATACTAAGTCTATAGTTTCGTATGAATTAGAAACTCAAATTACCGATATTGACAAGCTAGAATACAAAATAAGAATGTCTTATCTTTTCTATTTGCTAAGATATTGCTCATGTAATAAATCAAACACAGTGGCACCTCACCCATCTCTTTACATTTTTGGAAATGCTCCCTTATATACACTTACTTCTAGATATGACATGAATAACCAATCGGAAGCTTAGAATGTCCCCCTAATGGCTTTTTCAGCCATTTTAATGTGTTTGGGCACCCTCTTTTTTCTTTGGAATCAATATTTCAAGGAGGTAGGAAGTGTCTTTAGTCTGCTCAAAATTTCATATTTTTTTAGATTGAAATACGGCTTATTTACAATGCTTTATAAATTATAGTGGAATTCTATGGTATTGATATAGTAATTTATGATTTTTTAGTTATTCAAATGTATATATAAAAAACCTAAAAAAATATTTTCTTTCATATCCTACATGTGCAAAATGTTTAAAGGCTTAGCAATCTACGTCAAGCAGCAACTGAGGCCAAAGAGATAATTGTTTGCTTTACTTCTTTAGTTTCTGTTCTATGTTTTAAAAAAATTAAGTTTACGAATTTATTTCCAAATAGCAATAATCTATATACATATATATTGTGTAATAGTTGAAATGTGACTGTATTTTGCAAATACTTTGTACAGACGAAAGGTCAGTTTTATGTAATTTGATACAGTAACATGAGTACACCTGAGCCGTGTCATTGTAACTTTTGTATTGTTAACCAGGCACATTTGAAAGATCAATATAATAAGAATATTAAATATATAAAAATGTATAATGTTATGAGATTTAAGCTATTTAGTCTAAACATTTATGTTTTTGTGTTCATTCTGGAATGAAAGAGGCATAAATTTATATTTATTTCCTAATTTTTTATGGTGGCTACGAGATCGGTCAAATCTACAGAACCCGTACAGAAATTAATTACAGAAAATAATGTTGCGTCAGCGAGGTCAGGTGACTAGTATCACGCCACTCCTTCTCTCGAACCCTCGAGAGATTACTAGATATAAGGTAGTCTGGTATATATAAGATGGTCACAACGTGACACAATATGTGTGTAGGTAATGAGTAATTGAACTGCAGTCAGAGAGAGACGTATTGTTGAAGTTAACGTCGTTATTATAGTTTGTTAAAGCGCAACTGTCGAAGTTGAGTGTATCATAAAGTTGTATTCGGAAAGAATAAACCAGTTTTATTAAGAAAGGACTTGTGTCGCTAATGTTTCGTGGGAACGAAGTTACGGAAAATCAACTAACGAACGGAGACGTAACAAATTGGTGACAGAAGTGGAACGAAAAAAAATGGAAAAGAGAGGCGAAAAATCAAACTACAGCTTAGCAGACTTGATGGTAGCAATACAAGAGCAGCAAAAGAAACAAGAAGAAAGAGAAAATGAACGAGAAAAGAAACAAGAAGAGAGACAACAGCAGCTGCAAGAAAACCTGCAACAGTGGCAACTCGAACAACAAAATAAACAAGAAAAGAAACAAGAAGAACGAGAAAAGAAACAAGAAGAGAGACAACAGCAGTTGCAAGAAAACCTGCAACAGTGGCAGCTCGAACAGCAAAAGAAACAATAAAAGAAACAAGAAGAACGAGAAAAGAAACAAGAAGAGAGACAACAGCAGTTGCAAGAAAATCTGCA